CCTTGCTATCTACCAATTTAACATTCAAACAGTACACCACACTCTATTTTTCCATTCTTACCTCCTACTACTTTTCTTAGTAGTGATCCCTTGTATTTCAGCCTGTCTGGCCCATTAATGTTCCTTAATGGTCAGATTTTTACTCACTTTTCAAGATGAATAATTTCCCTGACATTCCATATTAATTAAGGTTATCTTCCTCCTTTGAACACCCTTAGTACTTTCTCTGTTCCTAAATTAAGGCACTTACACTCTCCTTGTATTATCATTATTTGGGTTGCAGTTCCTATCTCCACCTCCCAGCTAAATTTTAAGCTCCTCAAAAACAGGGACTGTTGTATTATTTGTACTTACCTCCTGGAGTACCTGGCAGTTTAATTCTGTTAGGCTGAATAGAAGAAATAAGAAGTACTCAAACTATGACAGCTCTCCCTGCCATCTTATTACCTTTAGTGTCAATTAGTGATCAGATACTCTACTAATAATATCTTAATCACTCAGGCTCAGAATCTAACCTTCCTTGACTCCTCTCTTCTTACATGCCTTCATTCTCCAAGCACCAGGGAAAAGTAATTCTTTGTTCATACTTACTTTTTCAATCCAGTTTGATGAACTCCAGCTTCCTCTCTTTGTTTCCCTAATTTTCTCCCCATGCTCCCCCCACTCTCCTACCTTACTTTCAGATTTTTCCTAAAACTCTATAGCCTTGCAGTCAACAACCTCCAGTGCCTGGTCCCACTTTCCCCTTAAGGTTCACTTCCCAACAATTTCTCCCCCTCCCCTGCATGAATCTTTTCTGTCCGGTAAAATGAGTTTATTCAGCATTCCCTAAATATACCTTGATTGTCATCCTCTTCTTACATCATACATAATGCCTGTTTACCCTTCAGAACTATGCTAAAATGCCACTTGTCCCTCATCACTGTTCAATTCAGGAAGCCTCTAGTAGGCATAACAGTAAGAGTCAATGTTTATTGAGTGCTTTCTATGTACAAGGTATTATTTTAAGCATTTCACACAACAATCATAGGAAGTAGGTACAATTATCATCTCACTTTACAATGACAAAACTAAGGTTTACTGATGTTAAATAACGTATCCAAGGTCACTCAGCAATTAAACGGTAGAGCCAGGATTTGAAATTACATCCGTGGTACTCCTCAGTTCAAGCTCTATCATATCAAACTCACTCTGTCCCAACATGTGGGATAAGGAAGGGCTTCTGCGCACGTACAGATTCTAAGAGGAAGGCCTATGAAGGATGATCACTCAGGGATGGGGCTCATCTAACATCCACTGTTTTCATTAAGAGAGCTGTGCAACTAAGGAGACACAGCAGAAGATACAAGTGGGAATTACTTATTGTAAAATTAACCAGGTACAGTGTTCAAACAGGGTAAGAAGCAGAACTAGTGCAGTAACTAGCCTAACATCAGAAATCTTTTTTCTTGAAAATTCTATCCTATCTTAGCTGTATTAAGGAGAAGGAAGGAATGGAATTTTGATTTGTGCCCACACCTAGGCCAGAGTTTTGAGTAGGATACTCTTTGGGTCAGTGGAACTTAGTAAGAACCTCTGAAGAGGAAGTGCGATCTAAGAGACAGGAATGAGGGCACGGGCACATCCCTCTTCCCCCCATTTCAACAGTCCCTCTCCTCCTTCCCCTATTTCTCGACTCCTGCTCTGGGCAAGAGAAAAGTCACAACAGCAGTGGAAGGGCTGGGTTTTATTTTACTTTTCCCAGATAATGTGAGCACGCAGTTTTTTTGAGGGGACACACAGCCCCAATGGTCTGCACCCATGTGCTATGACGTTCTTATGCTGTTTCTTTTTCTGTGATTTTTTCATGCCCTCCCTTCTCAATCAGACTAGTGTTAAGGATATGCTTCTTTGCACCTACTGGACCACTTAGTATGATTCCTTGCAAGCATTAGTTTTAACAAAAAAATACCTGATGATGTTAACTATTTTTTTGCCCATTCATGCAGCATTCAGTATTGCCCTCAAATTGGCTGCTTGGAAGAGTTTCATGAAGCTGCTCTACCACTTACCAGTAGATGATTTTAAGCAAATTAATCTCTCTATGCATGTTTCCTCACTTGTATAGTGGAAGTGAAAAAGAGCATTTGCCACAGAGAGTTGTGTGAGAAATAAGTCAACACATATAAAGCACTTAAGTGTCTGGCATTTAGTAGCCACTAGAGAAGCATTTTAATTTTTTAATTAAAAAGAAAACTTAAGAGGTGTAACTTGTTATGTTCCCATTTTCAGCCTACTTAAAAGATAAAGCAACGGGAGAAATCCTGCCATAATGAAAACAGCACAGGTTGGAACACTTGAATTCTAGTGTCTCACAAATAAGTCACACATCCCTGAGTTACCACGGAGGAACCAAAAAAACCCTGAAATTATCTCTGGAGGGCAGGCCCCTTGTAGTAAAGGCTTCCTCTCCTATGTGTGTTCTGGGAACCCACCTGTATCAGTCAGTGTGCCAGCTGCTGTTGTGAGAGGCTGCGTTCAGTTTCAGTGAAATTTTTTTGAAGACTCTTTCAATGCATTTGCCCATTTCATGATGGGTGATTTATCAGCATACCTGCCCACCATGTGCAGCGTGTTCAACAGTTTTTAACCAAAAATGGCATGACCTCCCCACCCCATACCCCAACCTCCCTATTCACGTGATCTCACCCAGAACCACTTTTTTTTTGTTTCCCTAATGAAAAAAGTCCTCAAAGGGAAAAAGTCTGCAAATGTAGAAGAGGTGAAACAAAAAACGGCAGAAGCACTAAACGTATCAAAAGCGATGAGTTCAAAAACCGTTTTGAGCAGTGGAAAAAACGTCTCAATAGGTGTACTGCATCAAATGGAGAGTACTCTGAAAGTGACCAAAGTTTAAACATGTAATAAATACACAATTTTTTATAAATAAATTCCATTTTTGGGGGGGGGTCCCCCTCTTGTATTTAACTTCTCTGGCACTCAGTAGCCTTATCTGTCAAATTGGGGGAAGGAAGGAACTGGGAAGAGAATACCACCTCTGGGGTCCCTCTGAGCTGAAAAACATTCTGACATTCTATCCGATTTAGATAAGATTACCCCCAGCAACCAGTTCTCACCACGGATAAATACAAACGATTTTCTTACAAGCAGGGCTTGGAGTTAGTTACAAGCTCACTTTATTCCGAAGGCTATTTTCTAAACAGGCCACTATTTTTTCCAGGGTGTAGTCTTCAAAGTTTAAACAAACTGCTCCCTCTCATTTTTGAACAGTGCTATAAACTGTTTTAAAATATTTTTTTTAAAGGTACCTTTAAAAGACAGCTACACAAAGAATATCGATACTACCTCAAAAAGAAACATTAAGACTTAATAGTGTGTATTTAGATGCAATATAAAGTAGAAAAAATTTAAGTGCTTAGATCAAGTGGAGAATAAGCAAATTACTATAGCATTAATTAGCTAGCTTCCCTGTTTGTATTTTAAGGTTGGTGAAGCTCTGGCTGGTGTGGCTCAGTAGACTGAGCACCAGCCTACCAACAGAAAGGTCACTGGTTCAGTTCCCAGCCAGGACACATGCCTGGGTTGCAGACCACGTCCCCAGTCAGCGGTGCGTGAAGCATCCAATCGATGTATATCTCACACATCTGATGTTTCTCTCTCTCCCTTACCCTCTCTCTAAAAATAAATAAACAAATAAATATCTTAAAAAAAAAAGTTGGTGGAAACTGCCTGAAATAACGAACAAGTATATTGCACAGTAATTCAGAGACAATACAATTTGGAGAAGCATTCTGGGGGCAAATTGTCCTTATGGTTCCCTATGTAATAAAGCTATTCATTTGGACAGTATATATAGTAACGGTGCTTTGTTGATCGGGTTACAGTGAATTCTCAACAATTCAACTTAATGCGTATTTATTGACCACCTCCAAATCCGCGGAGCACTGGCCTGTACAATAAATGCTTTCTTTGGTCCCAGGCCATGTAGCAGCCACACTCTATAATGAAAGTATCTTATTGTTTACTGGAGGCACTGCGGGGAGGGGAGGGGGCACTGTTAGGGTAAATTGTAGCAGAATTTTCAATTATTCAATACACTGACAAAATCGAATTTCAAAATTGGAAGGGCCTTTTGAGAAAGCCTAGTTAATGTTATTAATGACAAAACTGACAGTTGACAAAATGTCTTATCCAAGGTCACTCAGGCAATCAGCCCCCTAATGACGCGGTGCCAATTTCCACAAATTCTCCTCACTCTCACCCACGCCAAGTCAAGCAGAGTAGCTACTCAGAACCGAAAAAAATCCATCTAATCTTCCTGACAGATTAGATAGATTCCTAAAGCCTTCAAAATATCCCATAAAGCAGAAAGAGAGTGGGATGTATACAATCTCTGCTAGATCTGAATCACTTCTTGATCCACTCTAAGCTTCAGCTAACTCTTTAGTCCCCGTTCAGGGTTGCGGTGGAGTGAGGAGAAACAGTGATCTGGAAATATGTATGCTGCGCTTCAAAACATGCCCATTTCTCGGCCTTCCCCATCTTTCACCTCAAGGTCCTAAAGGACCCTGAAAAAAAAAAAAAAATCTCACTGGAATCAAGGCAAATGGCGACAAATGGGAAGCAGAAAAATCAGAGACTGGGGACGTGGGCTCGCTCGCGACCCTGTTCTCAGAAACGTCAAACGACGATGTCGACACCGTGGGCGAGGGGCCCGGAAAGGGCAGCCGGCTTCTCCCCAGTCCCGGAGCACCCCTGGCCACTAGACCCTCGCCCCCTCCCCGCCTGGACCCGGGGTTGGGGGGAGCGTGGGGGTGGGGAGGGGGACGTCTCCAGAGGGGACGGCACTTCCTATAGCCGAACCTGGAGAGAGAACAGGCTCTCTATAGTCTAGCCTGGCTGCCTGAAGGGGACCCCGGGCCGCAGCTACAGAGCCCACCCTCACGCACACCCCTCCTGTGGCCCCGCCCGCCCTCCACAGAGGCCGGCCCAAGTCTCACCGTGAGCCCCGGGAGCGGCCTTGGGGCGCTGGGAGAGAAAGGGGAGCTGACTCTGGGGCTCAGGCCGGCCGAAGGGCGCTGCAGAAGCACCTAGGCCCTGCCGACGCCTCGACACAGACACAATGAGTCACAAAGGCCGGAAGTGTGTCAGCACCTCGCCTTCCGGGACTGTGCTGCGCTTCCGGGTCCTCTCTAGGAGACCTGGAGGATTTTGCTACTCAGTTCCCGAAACGCTGGACTGGGCGCCAGCTCTCCGGTGGGTGATCAAGCCTCCTCCAGCTTTGAGTTTCCTGACCCCAGCTTGTGCGCCCCGAGTTAATGCTGGGGGTTCAAACTTTATGAAATACAGACCGTTCAGCTCAGCAATTCATGTGAAAATTCGTTTTCTCTGCTCTTCCATCTCGGGTAGTCCTTGTAATAATTATAGTTATTAGCAAGCAATAATATTTAGTAATTGTATGTCTGTATCAGAGGAACAGAAACAAAGGTGTTGACAGAGGAAGATCCAAGTGAATCCAGGGGTGGCTGGTTTCACAAAACTGCCCTGGTAGTTTCTCTAGGGCCCTGGGCATGCCTGCCAGTGGAGTGGGAGGTATTTTCAAATAGTTGGGGGCGGGTGGGATGGCGGGGGCGGGGTGGGGGGGTGGACAAAAGACGTAGTTCCATAGCCAAGTTAGTTATAAGGTTCTGTGTTTAGCTGATGTGGCATATGCTATTATAGCAGTTTAAAAGGAATTTTCATAGTAATAAACACTTTTACCTTCAAGGTGCTTTTACAACCTACAATTATGATCTTCACCTTTACCTGGGAAGTAAGTTGCTTCACCTTATGTGCAAGGGTGACCACGACCTTTAATGGTTGTGACTTTGCTCTGCATTCCAAGACAGGTTCATGGAGAGACTGGTAACATAACTAAAATTGCTTGGGGGAGATTATTTAAAAAAAAAAAAAGTACTTGAAAACTAAAAAGCAATTACAGTATCATTAAGTGAAAACTGAAAAATGGGGAAAAATAATCATCTGTAATCCATCCACCCTAACCTGACTATGATTGCTTTAATTTATCCCTTTTCTGTTTTCATATATATATTATATATTTTTAATTTATTATTTTAAACACAGTCCAAAACTATAGTTGTATTGAATAGGTGACTGATATGCTTGAAGTACCTACCACATTCATGCTATAGTAACCACTTTTTGGACCACAGCTGATTGGATTAGGTTTGGGCACCTGATGAAAGCACAATTTACATATATGCTAACCTTTGGAAGTACAGAGGTGGCTTGAGAGCTCTGACTAATGGAACAATAGATCCCCTTTCTTGAGGAGTTTAAATGTGAGACAAACAGAAAATAGGGGAAAGCCGAAATCAGTAAGCTGAATCAGTAAGCAGAAATCAGTTAGGTGATAGAAGCCTTGAAGCCATGGAAGTCATGAGCGAGCAGAGGCTTGAGAGAAAAACAAACTGAGCTATAGAAACAAAGACAGGTGTACCATATGGCAGAGCAGAGCTCCCTGAAGAAGCCTAGCCATCTAGTACTTAGGGCCCACAGCATAAGGGAGGTGATGGCCTGAATAACCTTCAGGCCTCAAACAGTGTTTATTCTCTGCATGGCTTGACTTTGCTGCAGGTGTCACTATGCCCAGTCTTCCTACTTCCCTGCATGCCCTAAGATTAAACACCCGGCCAGCAAAAGAGTTTAACTTTGTTCCTTGCCCACCTGAAAAAGCCCAATGTGATTGATGTGAAATTCATATATACGACTTAATAACAATATTGTATCGTTAATATTTTAAATTTTGCTACACAGAATGGATAATTATTTTAATAGCTGTATAGTGTTCTACTGAGCAGCTGTGCCATTAATTATTTAATTATTTTCTATTTCTAGATATGTAGAATACTTTCAAAGTTTGGCTAGTTTACAAAATATTTAAATGAAGATTTTTGTGCAAAAGGCTTTTGGCTTATTTAATTAATACAGTCTGATAAGTGAGTTTACCAAGTTAATAGGTATAAACTTTAAAAATATATAGTACCATGTTTCTTCCCCAAAGAAATTTAATTCTTATCTTCATCCTGCAACAAAGTTACTTACACCAGAAGGGTGGCAAATATCCTTCCATTGATAATGCTTAATTTATTGGATTGCATCAAGATTGTGGCAGAATTTATTTATTTATTCATAGCCATTTATCACATATTATGTATCAGGGATAATGCTTGATTTTGGAGGATTAAAAATCGACATTGTGCTAGTCTACAAGAAGCTTACAGTGACCAATGTGTGGGTCACCAAAATGCGTAGTGAATGATGCATAATCCCTTACCACATAAACACACTTCTCTGGCTTGGTGGTAGGTTTCCCAGGGCAGAATTAAGGGTTCTGTGTGGCCCCTCTTCTGAAGGTTACTCTCTGCTAGTGAAAAATAGTGTTGTCTCAAGCCTGCTCCAAGGTGAACTGTGTTGTAGCTTCTCCTGTTGCCCCTAAGTGCCGCTGCTAGTTGCTGTCTTCTCTGGGTCCCCCTGACTTAGAAAAGCGTTTTCTTCACATTTTGGACATATAAAAGGTCCATAACACAAGACTGTTGTGCACAATAGATTTAACCCTAGATTTCTGAATCAATGAGAAATGTTATAATAGCAAAGACTGCAATCAACTTCAAAGTGAATAGTCACGGTTTTAGGTCTCTCAGACAGCAGGATTTATCCCTGGCCAGCTCTCTGATGCTTAGCCCTGCGACTCCCCCCACCCTCACCCCCCAAGCCTTTTGCTTAGTCCAGGTCCTCCTTACACCTTTCTTCTAAGATCCTAACAATCTCTTGGAGGTTTTATTCTATTGTGCGTTAATTTCTCCCTATATGCCTCACTTTGCCTCACCCCACCCCCAAGTGCACAGGGGCCAGGCAGCCAAATGGATGGTAAAATTTGTTACCTGGCTGTGGAGTGGGTCTGTGGGTGGGTACCCACCCATCTGTTGAGCACATGCCCTGGCTGAGGGAGGAAATCATTCTTCAGGCTATTGTTGCCACCTGGGGTGTGGACCCAGAATTACCAGATAAGCTCATTTTGCCAAGGAGAAAAGAGAAATGGGATTTTTAGATGAAATTTCTCCATTTTTAAATGAAACTCAGCAAACAAACAAGGGTCACGCTTGCACAGGGCACATGCACACATACACACCCTCTGAGTTGGGAGCAGACAGGCTTGCAGGTATGTGGTGTGTGCTAACTGTTGTCCTCTCTTGGCCCCATGTCCAAGGGGTCTCTGCTTAAACAAGTTCCCTCAGGAAGTTTGCCTAAACAAAGAACCATCTGCCTGTGAAGTGAGTGCTGATCTTCCTCAATAGTATGGAAACACAGTTGCAATTCCTTCCCTTTCAAAAATAGACTTGTTTTTTCCACATTGCAGGAGGAAATTGTGCAGTCTGGAGGTGGGCCCCTTAGGCCCTCAGTGAGAACATGGATGGATGTGGCTAGTTGTTTTTAATTCTTGGCATCACCACCTTAAACCAGCACCAAACTCCCCAATTCTTTGTGGCCCTCAATGCCATGAAGGGAGTGATGACCATGCACAAATTCCCAAGGAGTCCGTGAGCTGCCCACTGGTCCTGCTTGCAGGAAGGCTATTGCTCCCCAGGCAAGGTAGATGGCTGGAGCAGGAGGAGGCTGCCGAGGCTCCCCTGGCTTTGGGCAAGGAGACCTCAGCTGGGTCCAAGTCGACCGTTTCTGAATTATGTAATATTCCCCAGACACTTAATATCTCTCAGCTGTAGCAGGTACTAAAAAATGAGCAGAATAATATTGCAGTCCCCTTTCTTCCACCCTGGACAAGATGAGTCAACACCTGGAAAAGTGTCTGATAAATGCTATTCACTCAAATACTGAGTTATACTGCACTAATGTGGCTTTCACTGAGAAAAAGTCTTTGAGAAGCACCTGTCAGGTATGTGTGATGAGGGGAGGGGTGGAGACAGGTTGGTGGATAACAGAGAAACCTTTCTTTTTCCCAAGGACATGGAAAACATTTCCCAGAAACTGTAAGGAATTAAGAAACTCAGCTTGGAAGACAAAAACACATGAGCCACATTTTTTCTTGCTGTCTGATGGCTGCACATGGAAGGTAGTGCAGTCTGGGTTTTAAATCTTTGCTGGAATACTAACTTCCTGTGTGAGTTTGGGCAAGTTAGTTAACCTCTCTGAACCTTTGTTCCTGTTACAGGTTGACTTGTGTTCTCCAAAAATGGCATGTTGGAGCCCTAAACCCCAGTATCTCAATGTGATCGTATTTGGGGTTAGGGTTTTTACAGAGGAAATCAAGTTAAGTTTGGGGTGGGCCCAAATCCAATATGACTAGTGTTCTTATAATGAGAGGAAATTTTTACACACACACACATAGAGGAAAGACAATGTGAAGAGACACATGGAAAAGTTGGCCATCAACAAGCCACAGAGAGAGGTGGCAGAATGAACTAACCCCACCAACACCTTGATCTTGAGCTTCTAGCTTCCTGAACTATAAGTAAATTTTTGTTGTTTTTCAGTGTGTGGCACTTTGTTATAACAGCCCTAACAAATACAGTTCTTCAGCTCCAAACTGGGAGCAGTGGTACCTACCTGAAAGTGACTGTGAGGAGGAGATGCCTCCTTGGTTCTGACCTGAATCCACCTTGGGTGTTCAGACATGCCTGGGCCTTTTGAGCTGGAGGAATGTGTCCTGCTCAGGTTAATTTGCATGAAGGTCTGAGAAATCTTCTGAGACATCGCTCATCCATCCCTTGTGAGAAGCTGGCAGATAAGTCTTGGGACAGAATTTTAGTCATCACAGGGGACCGCACTTTGGAGCATGGTGTGATGCTGCTGCCTCTCAGATTTTCTCCTTGAGCTGGCTCTCTGTGGCTACCAGTTCCAGTCTCACAGCCCATAGGGCATTATATGTATAAGTAAAATTAGATAAAGCAGTTTCACTGAATGCTGGCTTTTGTCATCCCATTGTGATTGGACTGCCAACCAACTTTTCCCTCTGGCAGATTCCCAAAGGTTAATTTCTAGAAGCCTTTTATCTGGGGCTATTTAGTTTCAGTATTAGTTCCCTATTATTGCTGTTACAACTGCAGATTTAGTGGTTTAAAT